TTAGGTTTAGGGTTAGGTTAAGGGTTAGATTTAGGGTTAGGGTTAGGATTAGGTTTAGGGGGGTTAGGTTTAGGTTTAGGGGTTAATTGTAGGTTTAGGGTTTACAGCGTGCCTCTGTCTCCGCGCTGTTGTCGCCCTGTTGATGACGTCAGCTACGTGGTTTAGTCGGACGTGGTTTAGTCGAGCGCGGTTTTGTGGTGGAACTGTCTTGCATAAGTAGGATCTCTTTATATGAGCAGCTTAAAAAAAAATCTGGTCTGATTCTCCCAAACTTCGCTAAACCAGGGGTGTCAAACTGGGGGCCCTGGGGGCCAGATGCATCATGCACAGACCACAACCCACCCCAGCTCCGCGAATGGGAAAAATCGTGAAACATCACATGATGGCAATCTGACGCCATGAGTTTGACTCTAGAGTTTTTCTGTAGAGTACAGAGCTAGTATGAAAATTTTTGAAGTTTTGAAGTGGAAGCAACCAAATTAACATGAAAGTTTTTATAAAATCCTTATTGAGCTGGAATAAAGTATCCTTTTCATAAGGACACTTTAGATCATAAGGACTATAAGATGCACGTAGGTGCACTGTAGGCTCTTGGGCTTCAAATGGAAAGGCAAAACAAACTAGCAATCGAATAAAGATCTCATGTTTCCAATGCTGGGTCAGAAAAAAGTGGTGGGAGCTGAACCACAACTTGGTTTCTTTTCAGAATGTATATCACTGGAGCCACTTCAAATAATAGCAATGTTGTTCATATACTCAAGTTGTTTGGCGACCTTGTTCTGATAGGGGACGCTTTTCATGCTTTTTCATATCTAGCTGTTCTGACCCCCCTCGTTCCACCCCAACACACACTCCGAGCCAAAGATACTTTATGCAATTCATTAACAGACAGACAGGTCCTTGGCAGCAAACCGGCACAGAAAAGCTTGGGCAGCAATCCAGTACAGATAAGCCGGGGCAGCAATCCAGCCTGCCAAGCTCGCAATAATGTTCTCCAACATTCATTCCTGCGTTGACTTCTGCAAGAGGGGCATGTGCACAAGTAGTCCTTTTATAGTCTGGAGAGGAGTCTAATGACCACCAGCTGAGTACAATTACCTCCTGTAAAGGAACAACTCACTGCTGGCATCTGGATCATTCTCCCTTGTCTCCTCCCCAATNCAGAGGAAC